CCAATGTACAAATATTAAAACCATGTCCTAGCAATTGCCGTTTCATAGGTGAGTCAAGACCAACGAACGCATTTTCATATTCCGGTTAACGTTACTATTGAAGGTAGTTTCAGCAAACCAAATGTTGCACAGAAACGTTGGTCTACCTTTATCACCGTAAGCTATTATCGCTTAATAATATTCAATTATCCGCCCAACCAGCACGAAACTTAATGGCTTTCGACCTTGGCAACATTTCTAGGTCGAGAAGTATTCAAATGAATTATTTGGAATAGTTTAAAAGTTTGTTTCAATTTTTCCATATATTTATTCATTCTTTAAAATTGCTTGCCTCCTATTAGTACTAAATGCGCGTCCTAATTTTCTGCGTATGGTATGTTCTAAAGTATAACGTCTTGGATTTTGACGGCTGTTAACGAAATAACCTGCCGACGAGAATACAACCCCTGACTAGTCGGTACTGCTGAACCTTTCGTGAATAGGAATCGGTCATAAGAGATAATCTCATTTCCCTCCTTTAGTTTCGTCCCCCTCAAAAGCAAGCAGGTGCAGAGTAGAGTGAATGCGAGCCAGTTTCAGCTCTGAAGAAGTCAATAGCGTTGGTGGAACGTCAACAAGTTGGATTTACCAACAATCCATGTAGAGGAATCGTACACATTTTTTACAATTTATTTTGCATCTAATGAATGACATGTGATTTCGACGATATAATGCAGAAATTAGGGATATACTCGTAAGAAGTTTTTTCGTCCCTGTTTTGTGTGTTTGTAACTTATACGATGCCATTATTAAATTTTTCTATTATTGGCAAATATCAGTTAAAACAAAAATGTAATAAAAATGCAATGCAAGTATAACTTGCGTAAAGTCAATACTAGTACCGCATTTATTGAACCCAAGATAAAACAATGAAACATTCAAAAGGCACAATGGCTATCACATAAAATTCTTTTTCTTTATTTGATTTTTACACTTTGGCGAAACTATTCATTGTTTGTGCAATGATAGGCAATACTAAATAGCTGTGTTTCTCTGTTGTGTCTTACAGGTACATTTAATTAAAGTTAATATTATATAAACCTGAATATTCACTGGCTTAAATAGAAATCAAAAATAAAAATATTTTCTACGACTTTTCAAGGTTTGAATATTCATTCTATAAGCTGTGAGACGTGAAAAGCGCTTCTGCACTCTTTGATGAGAGGACTACAGAAGCGTTTTTTCACTGCGTGGTATTCGAGAAATCGTCCAAGTGTTACACCCCGATCTTTGAGTGGATGAAATAAGCAAACATGCGCTCTGAATCCAAGGATTTGTCAATCAATTCAACAAGCAAAAGTAACAGTAACTAATAACCAAAGCCAACCAAAGTATGTTAGTCTACGCGAAATTCACTGTCACCTTAAAATATTACGGTCTAAGACGGTTCAGTGGAAAACTTGCTGGACTCCTGCGGAATAGAAAATTGGAAAATTTTTGCTATCGGGAGAAATCAAATGGCTTTTTTGTTGTTGAATTTCCCAGAAGAATTTCCGCCAGTGAACATAGGTAATTTTAGCCCCAACTGACCAAAAGAAAAACGTGTAGGTATGGATTTAAACTAACCTTTTTAATAGGCAAGGAAGAATAATAATTAGTGCCACCTTTATATTTCATTTATCATTCCAAGATACCTAGTTTTAACTAACAACTAGTTTTAGAGTGGAATTTTTTTAAGATGATACCCCCTGTGTATTATAGTATGTGTTTTATTTAAGGTTTATGATAACCAAAGTGTCGGCCGTAGTTTTTAATAAAGAATTTGTAACTACCGGAAATTAACTTATGAACGCACATTTTGTGTGGCTTTCATGTGCCTGTTTGTCTTTGAGCTTTTTATTTAATAAATTTTGCTTCAACGATGTGATTGTTATTTCAAAAGTAGGTTTCCATCTCTGATAGAGAAATAGTATACTCAAGAAAAAAAAATTCGATTGGTTTCAAATTTCAGACACCCTGTGTAAATTGGAAAATTTAATCTTGCTACATTAAAGTTTAAATATTGGTCACATGACTTAAGTATTTAACATTAAAATTTGATTACATTTTGTCAAATTTTATTTAATTATTTAAAGAGCACAGAAGGGAATGTCATTTAAAAAATATATACTTTAAAATTTTTCGCACCTTTACATACATGAAAGTAATTTTTAAAAGTAACTATATAATAAACCGCATATATCCCAGGAATATTTTGAAAGTCGGGTATTTAGGTACAAATTTGTGTTGAAACTCAAAATTGTAACCAAAGAAAACTAATAATAAAAATTCCACTAGTAGTAAAACCCAGAGCAAAATTTTATATTTATTTTTTCATTTTTCAATTTTTATCGTTTTAAAAAAGTATTAATTTAACTAAAAAAAAAACAGTACTGCCGTGTCAATACGATTTAATTCACCGGTCCTATCAATAGAGCTGACCCTTTAGTTTACTAGTTTATCAACGTTTTAATTCCTTATTGTCGGATTCAAGATAAAAATGATTATGTGGCACGTAAAGATCACACAGGCCATTTTTCAACTGCTTCTGGCAAATCCAAAAAAGCGCTCAGATTTTGTCTGAGATCTAATTTTTGAGATGTGCTGTAGAGGGTGTTTTCTAATTGAATGTCAATAATTCAGGGGGTGATTTTTGGGTACATTTTTCAAAGAAAACCTCATAAGAACATATGTTCTAAATGTCTTAACTATACATGGTGGTAAAGTTTAGATATTTTAATGAAATTTGGCACACGTACCTAAAGTAACACTTTTCGTACTCTTGATCAGTGTTTCAGAGTAGGAAGTATAAATGTAAAGTAGCACTTTAAAACTTGAGTCTCATTAAACACTGGTGCCACTTCGAGCGTGCGGTACTTTAGTCACGGGTTATAAGAGAGGGGTTTTTGTTGGTGGATTTAAGACTGACTGTATTTTGACGTTTGTCAGTTTTGATGAACACGTCTAATGTCACTCAGTGAATATATTTGTGCAGTTTTGCAAATGAGTACCCAAAAACTATTGCTAATTTAAAAAATTACTGGTATAGAACACGTTGATATACTTCTTTAGTCATTCGTTTATTAAACATTCGCTCGTGATAAAATTATTGTTGTATAATTTACAATTAATATGATATTAATTATAATACACTTTTGGTTATCGTCGTTTTGTTATTATGTGTTATTTGTTATGTATAATTCTAGATTATTTTTCTTTATATAGTTCACAGATTATCTATTTGCTTTGTTTGGATACAGCAATTTATGAAAAATTTGTATGAAGTAAAGGATGAATTAAAAAAAAATTAATGGCAACTCTAGGAGTGAAACAGAATTGGATTTTGAATATTTCAGTACTTTAGGTAATTATTTATAATTTGTATGTAATTATATATTACATATTTTTAAAACACGTTAAAGGTCTGTCTGTTGCTCTCTCCTACAGGACCGACTGATCATGTGCTTTATGGTCATATTTTCATATATATACATTTCATATATAACCAAAACTAAAAACGAAGGAATTATTTATATGTTTTAATAATCAAAATAATAATAAAAGAATCATTCTAGAGGAATCATAATGCCAACATTCTGGTATGATAAAGATATTTCGACAGTTATTCATGTATCACAAGTAGCCAATATTCTAGTTTTTGTACTAGTTCTTCCACCAATTATCTATTTGTTTTTATAATTCAAATAATAATAAAATCATCATCCTAGACCCATCAAGGTGCCAATATTCTTGTATGTCATACCGGTATCACAAGCATATTCTGGTTCTTGTCCTAGCTCCACCATTAATTATTTATATGTTTTTATAATTCATACCTATACCACAAATACTCAATATTCATGTACTACACACATGTTCCTCCACCAATTATTTATATGTTTTTATAATTGAAGTAATAATAAAACAATCGTTTTATAGGGATCAAGATGCCAAGGTTCTGGTATGTTAAAGATATTTCAACAACCATAACTGTACCATAAGTAGCCAATATTCTAATACATGTAGCAGTTCCTCCACCAATTATACTTTTTGATAATTCAAATAATAAAAAAGAATCGCTCTAGAGGGATCATGATACCAACATTACGGTATGATAAAAATATTCTACTATTTGTACTAGTTCCTACACCAAATTATTTGTATAATTCAAATAATAATAAAAGAACATTCCAGAGGGAGTAAAATGTCAACTTCCTCGTATGATAAAGATATTTGAGCAGCCATACCAGTGGCCAATATACCAGTACTTGTACTAGTTCCTCCACAAATTTATCTTTTTTGATAATTCAAATAATAATAAAAGAATCATTCCAAAGGGATCAAACGGCCAATAGGACTGTTTTTTCGTATGATAAAAATATTTTAACAGCCATACCCGTACCACAATTAGCCAATACTGTAGTAGTTGTACCAGTTCTTCTGCCAATTATTTATATGTTTTTATAATTCAAATCATAATAAAAAAATATTTCAACAGCCATATATGTGCCACTACTTATTGTAATATTTATACAAGTTCCTTCACCAATTATTTATATGTTTTTATAATTAAAATAATAAAATAATCATCCTGATCAAGATACCGACATTCTGATATGAAAAAGATATTTAACAGTCACACCAATACCCCAAATATCCAATATCTAATACTTTCACTAATAAAAAAATTAGTCTAGAGTGATCAAAATGCTAAATTTCTGGTATGATAAAGATATTTCAACAGCAATATGCCTGTACCACAATTAACAAATACTTGAACTAGTTCTTTCACATATTATTTATATGTTTATATAATTCAAATTATAATAAAAAAATCATTCTAGAGGGATCAAAATGATAAAGATATTTCTAGAGCCATATTCCAGTACAACGAGTAGTCAATATTCTAATACTTGAACTAGTTCCTCCAGCAATTATTTATATGTTTTTTAATTCAAATAATAATAAAAGAATCATTCCAGAGGGATCAAAATGCCAACATTCCGGCATGACGGGCCTATGTAAACAAGTAAAAGACTGTCCGTTAGCATTAAGTGCTGTTAAAAGAGGGGAACGACACAATTTGGAACGATGCGGTTTTGTCGGATTTGAAGAGGTAAGTCAAAACGGCGTTCCACGTATCCTTGTTGTTTTAGATTTATACTGATTTAGGTCGTTTGTTGCCCACAAGCTTTGGACCGCAGTCCTCTTGTGGATTCGACCACTACGGACCAGGGAGTTGTCTGGACGGACAACGAAATTCCTAGAAAAGATCCGCCCAAGCAGCGTAACGAGACAAATGACGGAAGTACGGATGTCGATAATAAAGGAAGGATCAACGCTAAACGAAAATGCGAGAAAGGTATAGCTATTCTATGCTGGGTGATTCATAAAGAATGGTCAATCTCCAATGTGCCTCATACAAATGCTTCGGAGATATGTTCTCATTTTGAGTTTTTATGGTATAATAATAAAAATTTGCAGTTTTAAAATTTCTGACATAACAATTACGAATTGGAGACTTATTTGGACTTGATGCTGGACGGCGCTAGATTCACTGCAGTATTGAACATGATGAAAGTTTGAAAGGATGTTCATTTTTTTTTCAAAGAAAAGTTGTGTTTTGGTTTTTGATTTATTTGCATTTAAAACGAAAGACGAAGACGAAAAGACGAAAAGCAAAGCAATAAAGAACCAATATTTAAAAATAACCATATTGACAATGGTAATAAAAAATTTCAAATTTTGGAACTGTGTTTTATTGAGAAAATTTCTGTTCTCGGTTTGAATAGTTTGTAAAAATTAAACAAATTATAGGCGAGCCGGTAAATTTTGAGGAAATAACTGCTAAACCGATTTGCTTTTCTTAAAATTCGGTAAATGGATACTTAGACATGTCGAGCATAATCAGTATTTTGGTTTAGATATTGTCCATTTTTTCTTAACCATCTCGTAGATTGCTTGGCTTTGATAAACTGTGTCTTTCCAGCCTGCGAGAAGTACATAAAAATGAACGACATTAAACCCCAAGTTGACTTCCATATCATAGGTGGCGAAGACGCAAGATTGGGGGAATTTCCCCATATGGTATGTGAGCGCAATTGTTTGCTAATAATTAACAGCCCGAGCTTTATTAAATAATCCCTTCTTTAGAGTCAAAATTACTTGGTAATGAATCTAAAAACTGTCGCCAGTTCGTATTCAATGAGTATGATGATGTAACATCAAAATCGTGTTAAGTTGTTTAGTTGCCTCAATAAATAAAATTTTATATTTTTTAAAATTCTTGGCTTCAAAGAGATTAATGATTGAATGCACCAAAGTAAATGTACACTAATAACTGGTAGTAAGCTAACTAAAACTAAAATTAGAGGTGCACAAAAAAAAATTCCAATTTGCAATTTTTTCCCGTTTGTGCAATGTCTTGCAATGCTAGTTTTAATGGCTTTGACAAACCCATATGTAGTGCTCTGTAATTAATTAGTAGCGAGATAGTAAGCTCCTAAAGTTTAGTTCTTTAAATTGTTACATCTCTTTGGCTCAAGCAGTTTTTGAAGTATAATGTGTAATAAATTCGGTGACAGGTATTGCAACTTAAAAATACCTTTAAAAATAGAAAAAATGCAATTTTCCTTTTAATTGAAAAAGCTTATCTCGTGCGATAAATCGTTCATTTTGTAATAAAAAATGGAACCAGGCATAGGATGTACTTTTTCTCTGGCCATATAAAAAAAAAAGTTGACGTAACGAAACTTCAGATATAAAATCTAAAAATACCGTCATGTAGTACATTCAAAGTGCCAATGAGAAAGTCTTATTAGTTTTTTGTTATATCTTCAAATAAAGTCAGAACAAAATATTGTCAAACTTCCGATTTTTCAAGTTTCTAAACAGCAACTTTTTCCTAATTTTTCTTAGGCCTGTATCTCCTAAAAAGTACCAACTTTCACATACTTAGGATCCTTATTTTGCACATACTCTTTATAGATCTCTTATAGATCTAGTTTAAAGTGGACCTGATAGTCCTACTACTCCATCTATCTCTTCTACACATAATTAACTAATATAGTACACTAAGGGTAATAAAACGTAACAACTAGTGAATTATTGTTTTAGGCGGCTTTAGGCTTTGAGGCAGACGACGATTCAGGGGAAGCGTTAGACTGGAGATTGTGTGCCGCATCGCTAATATCATCAAAGTTCTTGCTTACGGCCGCTCACTGTTTCGTAAACACAAGACGACCGGTTTTAAGAAAAGTCAGAATGGGCGTTGTTAACTTGAGGTATACGTTTTCCCAAATTCCAGTCTAATTGACCCACTCAATATTGGGCCGACGTTTTGATATGAATAACTTTATACATGATAGGTTATATGTTTTTTTTTACATTTTTTTTTTCGCTGACCTGCAGGCAATCATCCTGTTGGCTTCTTCAGAGAATAACTGAAACTGGCTCGCATTCTATTCTGTACTTGCTTATACAGCGTGTTTTAAAATACGTTCATTAAAATAATGTGCACAAAGGAAAACGTGACTTTAATGAAATGTCTAATTGCTTTTGGCCACAATTTTTGGTTGTTTTTCTTAAATGGTTTTTCCCGGAGCAGAAATAGTTGCAGTACCCACGAAAAAATGTTAAACTGATAACTGTCTACACAAAAACGTACCTCGTGACGTCACTAACAGTGTTTTTAGCGGGAAATTATCCAGTTCAAAATTTAATTATTTATTACGACTTGAATATTTCACTTGAGGAATTATTTGCAATAATGAAAAATCATTATCGAAAAATGTTAGCGCCATAAAATCATGTATGGCGCATTGGTTAAATTTTACAAATAGGGAAAAAAATGAAGGTCTCCTCGTGTCTCTAGAAGAGATAAGGTGCCTCCCGAGGATTACGATACGCTTAACACGACCATTCATCCCAAATACAATACCCGCACCAGGCACAACGATATCGCGGTAGTGGAACTCTCAACTCGAGTTAAAACATCCCAGTACATTCAGCCAGCCTGTCTCTACACCGAAGATGATGATCCTCTGGGATTAATTATCTCGGGATGGGGCCAAATAGGTAAGAAGCCTTTTGTAATCGACCGTGGAGGTTGAACTAAAACTCCACATTTGTAGTGGCCGGAATTGGTGACGAAAGGGCGACTCAACTCCAAAAAGCTACACTGGCGCCTGTGTCGATCAGTCAATGCAATATAACGTTACTATCTAAATCGATCGGCACCAGTAAGATTATCGTTGCTTCACAGATATGTGCTTGGTCGGATACTAGTGATACTTGCCAGGTGAGTGAAGGTAAACGATGCAAGTGTTTGAGAATAACAGGCAATGTTTCAGGGCGATTCTGGGGGACCGCTTCAAATTCAGAAAAAGGACGGCAGTTATGCTATCGTGGGCATAGTTTCTTATGGAGCGGGTTGCGGCGGAAAAACTCCAGGAGTATACACGAGAGTTTCCAGATTTTTAAATTGGATAGAGACGGTTGTGTGGCCGGATTAATAAATTCGTGTTTGTCGCCCCTAGGTCTTTTATTCCAATGAACTTAGAGAGTGACAATTATATCACATCATAAAGTGTGTGAACTAATAAATGCACGTACTTCGGTGATAAGGTGCGTGAGGCCAAGAGGATATCTTATGATTGATGACGAAAGGGGTTGTAGCTTTGGTTAAGGTTAATGTTAATGTTTATTTTAATTATTTTTAGTTTCCTTATATTTAGTGATTTTATTGCATCCTCGCCTAAAAGTAAAGTTTATCTAGTCACGTAAGTTATATTTTACAACAGTCTACAAACAAAAAGTATTCTAGGGTAAGATCCGTAGCAAATATTTTAATTAAATTAAATTTCTTTTAGGCCGAAAAGCTTTTATTATTATTGTCCAAGATTTGTAAGTTATTTGTTGCAGATTCATAGTTATGATTCATAGAATATTTTTGGATATTTTTAGTTAATAAAAATTAGGTAATCTCAGGACTAATTTTAGTAAGATATTTAAATAAAAAGTACAATACCAAGCAAGTATTATGTCAAAATTGTATATGAATGTTAGCACAAACTACGAAGGACAATTTATTTAAAAAAACAATTTGATGTTACAAGAGGCTAAAATAGGCGAATATAAACAAATAAATTATATAAAAAGCAAAATATAAAACCTGTTAAGTTTTCGCCATTTTAAATAGGAATGTCGCTACATAGTTTTTTAAATACATTTTATTATAAACAATAAATTACTTTTAGTTAGTAGGTAAACCATAAACTAATTAATTCTACATGAGAGTCTTTAAATTTTTTCCTTTAAAGCTCACAAAGTTCACTTTCTGAATCCCGTAAAATTGTTATGGGCTCTATTGTATTAAAAATGGCTTTGTTATACCACTCTAAAATAATTTTGTTGGGATGGTTTTTTTTGTTTGTAATGCAGCTTAATTCCACATGGCAAAGCCATTTTCATAGCTATGAGCGTCTCTTCCGAACTGTGATCTGGGCCTTCCAAATTGCAAAGTAATTTTTGTTTTAACCCCCTAATACATATTTCGCTATTCATATCGCCATAGTAAGCAAACAAAACACCAAGCTATCTATTTATCTATATATCGCCGAGTGGTCTTGTTAGACTTCTTATTGAATTATCTTGCCAAGACTTTTTGCACTCCCTTTAGAAAATATACCACGAAAATAACTAGACTAAATTCAGTTCGAAGGAATAAAACATTGGTTTGCTCCACAAGATATCTTCGGTAATCATCTGTTTTTGATTTAAAACCTAAACTGGCAATACTCTCTGCAAAGAACTATCGCTAATAAAAGCAAGTTCTTGTTCCTTAATCCTTCTATTTAAAGTTGCTATTGTGACATGTTTTTCTAGAAAAAGACAATGAAATTAATCATCATACACTGTCTTCCATAGTTTTGAATGATTGCTTTGACTATACATTGGATGCACCGTGTCTTGTATATTACATTTAACAACAAGACGAGTATGGGGAGACATTTAAAATGTGGTTAAATATTTAAGAAGTACGAGACTGCTACTCATATTTACTTCATTATTATTCTTAAAAAGATGTTTTTTTTTTAAAACATATTTAAATGAAAAATAGCAAACAATTTATATGACAAAATATAAATAAAATGAAATTAGTCATCATATACTATCGTGCTCTTGGATAGCGGATAGTGGTAATAAAGGTCCTCCTCCCTTATCCTCTTGTTGAAAATAATTTAGCAAAGATACAGCTAAAACTTGCGACTGAGAGTTAAGCGTTTCATAGCAAACAGTTGTTTAAGTAAAAATTAAAATAACGGTCTGCACCATCTCAAAAGTCTAAAGATATTAAAAAACAAATGTCACAAAATGTCACAGAAAGGCAAGTATGGGGAATTAGAATATCTTGCCAATAAAAGAGCTTCCTAAGCTATTTTTGGGGCTTGTTTTGACGATCTTTATAATTTTTTTATATATTTTTGAGATCTTAAATTTTTTTAAAGAATTTACAGAATAAACATGCTTACAATCATAAATAACACACAACTTATACGACAAATTGAATTAAAAGCCGGAGCACCAAAATATAAACACAAGCTAATGAAATACCACAAACTTTCCAGTTTATGCTTTCAAAACGTGTAACACCTCGAACTGACAGCAGTTTAACGATGTTAAAATTTTAATAATTATATTAATTATACTACATCAACTTTATTTCGGATTGTATGACAAATACATTACATAAAAATAATAGGTTATAACAAACACACAGGAAATCGGCGCACTGTAATAATTAAACAGTATTTAAAGACTACAGAAAAACATCTTTTATGTAACTATATAACTTTTTTTATAATTTATCGTTTATTAATATGTAAGGTTCTCGTATTATATCTGCGAAACATGTGCAGTTCGAAGTCCTTTCGATTTTTAAAAAATAATATCAATGCTTCATAAATATATAAACATGTAGTAGACATGAAGTATGTCAACTTCTTGGTTTCAAAAGTTATGAAAAAATAGAAGTAAAGATTCTTAGGATGCACAATTTAAATTTATTTTAAAATACACAGGGTGCATCAAAAAAGCGTGACATAAAAAACATACGTTTTTTTTTTTAAATGGAACGCAATATTTTTTAATTTTGTTTTGAATTCTTCAACTTTCTGATTAACAACAAGACATAACTAAACGTAATAGTTTTTTCAATATTTTAATTTGTCTAAAAAAATACAAGTAGACAATATCTTCAGCGTTTAGTGACAAATAAAATGTACTATTTTTTAATTTTGATTTGAATTCTTCAACAACAGACAATCTCTTCAGTGTTTAGTTTACTTCAAGTTCAAGATAGTTTCAAGGTCAGTGATTCACAAGTCCCAATCTATCGTTAATCGCACCACTATGAAACATATACCATCCCTTCTACAAGGAACTATACCAAGAAGTTGTAGACCATGATATTGATTTGATTTTGTAAGCTTCTGCACCGTTCTAAATGAAGCAAGACAGGCCGATTCAAGTGTTTTGTCTAAAATGCCGAATGATTTGCCTCAACTTATTTAAGAAGTTGATAACATTGAGATCCAACAAATGTGGTTTCCGGAAGATGGAGCTCCTGCGCATTACCATTGAGAACTTCGAGTATTTTTAAATAATCATTACTGGCAGAAATGAATTAGTAGAGTGAATTCATTATGTTAAAGATGCTGTTTATGTGAATCCCTCTACAACGTCAAAAGATATGGAAAATTGGATTTGGGACGCTTGCAGGAGAATAACACTGTCTATTCTAAGGAACATCCAATGAAATATACGAAAAAGACTAAATATATGTATTAGAGGCGTATATTTTGAACATTTACTGCATTTAAAGTAAGATACTTTCGAAACCAATGAGATCTTCTTCATGTACCGTCTCCACTTCGGAGGTTGGCTATCATCATTGCTATTTTGATTTTGGAAGCTGCGGCTTTAAATAGGTCAGATGATGTAACATTAAACCATTTTCGTAGGTTTCTAAGCCAGGATATTCTTCTTCTTCCAATAGATCTTCTTCCCACAATATTTCCCTGGATTATGAGTTGTAAAATTTCATACTTTGGTCCTCTCATGATGTGGCCGAGATATTGCAATTTCCTTTCTTTCACTTCCTGTAGGATCTCTACACCTTTCCTCATTCTTCTCAGAACCTCCACGTTGGTCACATGTTCCGTCTATGGTATTCTCAATATCCTACGGTATGCCCACATCTCGAAGACTTCCAGTTGCCGCTCACAAAACAGGTTGAGGGTCCAAGCTTCCACGCCATACAAAAGGACCGGGAATACATAACACTTGAGCATTTGAGTTCTCAGATCTAGGCTCAAATCGCGACTACAGAGCAGCTTCTTTATCTTCACAAAGCTGCACAGGCTTTCTGAATGCGGATCTTTATTTCCGAAGAATAATCCACATTGCAGTCGACACTCGTACCCAGGTAATCATATCTCTCGACTCTGTCCAGCTCTTGGTTTTCAACATACAGATGTTCATGAAGCACTTTGGTTTTGGTGACAATCATGTACTTGGTCTTCTTAACAGTGAGTGTCAGAATATATTCTCGACTAGTCTTGACGACATTATTTAACATATTCTGCAGGGCTTGCATGTTTTCGGCGAGAAGTACTGTATCATCTGCGTAACGCAGATTCAGTGGAATGCCGTTAATTCTTATCCCAGCGGTATCATTTTCGAGCGCTTTGAGATAATGAATTTTAATCTTTCGTTGACTTGAATACCCCTCTACAACTCTCTCTAAATTTCATTTTTTTGGAGATACTAAGAGTCCTCTGTTGAACCAGAACATTTTCTATATCTGACCACTAACCCCTCTAATAGATAATTCCATACCTCATGCGTGGCAGAAAGTTTGCAACATAATCAAAGACCCTAATCCTATAAAACATTGAATTTAGCATATAATCAATATATTCAGACCAATCAAGAAACTCGTCAATTTGTAAATATAAGAATTTTGTGTTCTTTACAATTTTCTTTACCTACCCTGAGGAGTAGTGCTTTTCAAGCTCTACGTAATTTAGTTCTAAATACAATTAAATTCGTTTTGTTCAATATCAATTTATTTCTTAGAAACCAGTCATAAGCCCTTGCAAAAATATCGTTATCTTTATCCCTAACCTAGGTGAGACCAAGCAGCTGGATGTAGTGGGTTTGTGACACGGCGTGATATAACTTCTAGTGTACTTTATATTGATGATTACAGATTTAGAAATGATCGTGATCTTAGGGGTGATGGCGTGGCGTTTTATATCAAGAATTCATTTAATTGCAAACATATTGATTTGTCAATGTTCGGGAATCCTTTCTAGCAGTTCTGGCTGAGAAGAGATTTGTTTGGATTTGTCGTAAACCAGAGGAAAATTTAGTACTAGTAGTACTTTTAGTACTAATACTATTAGTGCTAGTAGTAATGATTTCTAAGAAAGAATTGATATTGGACAAAGAAAGAACGAATTTAATTATATTTAGAACTAAATTAGGTAGAACTTGAATACCACTTGGCCTAACGGTAGGCAAAGAAAATTGTAAAGAACATAAAATTCTTAGATTTACAAATTGACGAGTTTCTTGATTGGCATGAACATATTGATTATTTGTTAAATTCATTTTTTTTTTGGAATTAGAGTCTTTGCGAACTATATGATTATGTTGCAAACTTTCAGCCGCGCATGAGGTATGGTAAATTTCTCGAGCTCATCGCTTTGCGAATTCTCTCGTGCCATATTCTTTTTGGTCGCCCCCCTCTTTTTTTTTCGGTGATGTGGCAACCAATTTATTGATTGTTTAGGGAATCTTTCGTCGTTCACACGCTGTACATGGTCGTACCAGATCAGTTGTTTTCTTTCGATGTCAGTTATGATTGTATTTCGAAGTCACATTTGTTCCCGAATTCATTTCTAACTCTTTCTGATCCTCTAAGTGCACCCATTTCCTTAATTTTGATTACTTGTCTAAAAATATGAGTTGCTTCAAATAGTTTCACCCAACACGTCTTATTGACCATAGCAACACATTGTTAGTTATTCTCTTGATGTTGTAATTGATCCAGAAGTTATATTAGCATGGGTAGTGTATCGGATCACTGCTTAGTAAAATGTTACTTAAATGTCACGAAGCTACCTGCCCCTACAATCTTCAAATTTTGAGTACAACA